CACCTTGCCATCTCTCAAACATAGCAAGACTGGCTTCACCTCAAGATCTTTATACTTGTGGTTCTCTCTGCCTGGAATTCATCTTCTCTCACAAATCTGTGTGACTCCCTCCTTCACCTCCTTCAGATCTCAGCTAAAATATCACCTTTTTATTGGAGAAGTCTGCTTTGATAATTCCATCCGAAACAGCAGCCCTGCCACTGTCCCCTCTCTGAATCACTCTCTCACCATTGTATTACTTCATATTTATTATTACTTCTATGTAATACTTATTACCATCTGGAACATGTTTATTGTCTGCCTTTCCACTAGAATGTAAGCTCCACAAGGGAAGAGTTTTGTTCATTTGTCTCCCCAGGGCCTGGAACAGTGTCTGGCACATAGTGAGCACTAAGTAAATATTTACAGCATGAACCACTGACCTCACCCTGTGTTATGTGTGGGAAGAGAACAGATAAAGAGAGTAGATATTGGGGGTTTGGCAAGAGGAGGCCTGGAAGGGCCACTGAGAAATAAAAATGAGATAGTCCTGAAAGACTCCTTGAATAATACAAAAGGATCTGGAATGCTGATGATTTCTCTGAATAAGAGTTCCTCCAAACCAGACTGCTGCTATTTCTCCTGTTTATACTCAAGGCCTGGGAAATGTGAGTTCCAGTGCAATGGGTTTAGTTTGACAGATTTTAACTATTTTTAACAAATGAATATATTTTATAGAAAAAGCTGGAGATCTATGACTATACATCATGAGTAAGGAATAAAAGCTAGCAGAGGTCCATCCTTTGAATCTCAAGAAGAGCACAATCTGGTTTATACTTCAGTACCCAATCAATGGTATCATTCTGTGCCCTAGTGGCAGCACAGTTAAACTACACAGAAAGATACATTCTTTGAAGAAGACAGGCAAAACAAAAATGTCAAGGTTATAGCTCCAGAAGCATGTAGCAATCATGTGTGTGTGTGCATGCATGTGTTTGTTTGGAATAAAGATCTCCCAATGTTTTTCCCCCATGAAACCTGACCGTGCTTCCTTACTCATGTGACTTCAGCATCAAAGGGGATCAGTTGAATGGAAGATACTCCCCTAGCACAGCTAGGTTTGGTTATAAAACACTCACTCCAATCCAGGCCCTAGACAACCTGCTCTCATAAACATCTGCCAAATGTGTTTGTAGAAAGGATTTCTTTTGTGGCTGGGAGGTTGGCATAGGCAGCCTCAAAGTCCCCTACAACTTAGGAGTTTACAACTTTATGATGAGCCTGTCTCACTCCACTCTCATCTAGTCTTAGTCTGGGCATCCCTAACTTTCCAACTCTGACTAGATGGGAGTGGAGTGACACAGGCTCATCATAAAGTTATAAACTCCTAAGTTGGGTATCCCTGACTTCCACTTGCTGGTGGCATCTACAACCCCCTTGAATTTTTTACCTTGTACTTCTAACTTCTAACAATAAAGTTCTTACTCTTGGGTTTGTGTGAATGGAGACCTTATCTCTAAAATGTGTCCTGATCACAGCTGACTCCTTGCTAATGGTCCTCTTAACTTTAACATGCATAAGAATCACCAGAGGAGAATGTCAAAAATGGAGAATTCCAATTCTTCCCCATCTCATCCTCCAACTCTGATTTAGAGCATCAAGGATGGGGCCTGGGCATTTTCATTTTATCTAGCACTTCAGGTCTCTGCACTATAAGTAGTCTGTGGATGACACTTGGGAAACAGGGGCCAAAAGGGTAGCATAAGAGAAGAGGGTTCTGAAGCCCCTCCTCTGACACAGCCCTGAACTCTTAAAAGCAAAGAGTCAATAAATTTGCAAATGTCATAGGTAGAATTTGGCCTTCTCATAAGATATATCCTGTATGCTGACTTGGAGACAAATATGACCCAAAGTAGCAAAGATCTCTCATTGCAGCTACTAATCACTCTCATTCTGTCTTCCTGGCTTCAGGATCATGGCCAAATTTGACCAAGCTTCCTACTTGAACCTGCTTCCTTGCTTGATGCCAGTCTTAAGCATGGGATTTTCTATTTGTCCCTTTTTTAGTTCTGTAAATCCCTGTAATATATGGGGGGAAAAGTACCAGAGAAGCTCCTGGACAGGTACAAAGGGTTAGTTTGGCATCAAATATCCATTAGATGGATACTCTTGGTTTATATTATTTTTATTCCATGTTATTAAAATTAAAAAGAAACTATTTGTTCCCTACATTTTTTAAGTGACTAAAGTACAGCTTAGAAAGGTAAAATGATTCCTTCGAGGTAACCTAGCCAACTGGAGGTAGAGCCAGGACAAAATGTAGGCCTTCTTTCTCACAGTCAAGTGCTATTGTTGGCATCAGAGAGGCAAAGTTACGGATGGACACTGAAGAGTGAACCCTAGTGAATAATGCTCCCTGTTATTTAGATAACTTAACAAACATTATTTGCCTCAACAAATGAAAAACCAAACCCTATGGCATCTTTTAGTTTTGCTCCCTGCCTGGCTCCCTAGATCTACCAGTCATGAGTTACAAAGAATTGAAACTCCATTATATCTCTTACATTTACACATTTCTCTCCTACTTCCACAGTAATTGCTATGGTTCAGGACAGTCATCCAGAAGAAACTATTACAAGTTCTATGCAGCACACGCATACACATACACACTTGTGTATGCACACACAAACATACATAAACAAATAAATATAATTATAAATAAAGAATTGGGCAGGTATGGTATCCTGAGCATGACTAAAAGAGCAGGCCCAGTGTGTATAATTTCTGTGCTTTGTTGGGGGAATATGTTGTGATTCTCAATTAATCCCATTTTAGAATGAATAATCGTAAAGGCTGGCACAGGATCTCTTTAGCCATATATGTATACATTGTATATTTGTACAGAAGATGTTATTTTCAAAACTCTTGTTATTTTTCTTCTTAAATTACGATTATTTTTATTTTTAAGATATAATTTTTTAACTGGCTAGGAAACACTCCTTACTCTAATGTAGGAGTTGGTAAATTTTAGCTAACCTGCCACTTGTTTTTTGTAAATAAAATTTTATCAGAGGACAGTCACACCTATTGTCTATGGCTGCTTTCACACTAGGACAGCATACTTGAGTAGTTGCAAAGGCCTACAAAAATCTCAAATATTTACTATTAGACTCTTTGCAGAAGTTTGTATTAATTTAATCTATTTTTTATTTTTATTTTTTGACTTAAACAACAGAAATTTATTCTCACATTTCTAGAGGCTGAGAAGTTCAAAATCAAGGCACTAGCACATTTGGTGTCTAGTGGGAACCTGCTTCTTGGTTTGCAGATGGCAGAAAAAGGGATCATTTTGGGTGTATTCTGCATGAGCACTAAATGTGAAAGCCTGTGTCAGCTCGTGCAATTTAACCCAAATTCCTAGCCAACAAAATTAAAGGTTAAGGAAGGGTCAGTACAGGCCACAATCTGGCAATTTTCATGGAGATTTTCTCCATAAGGCACTACAGGGGATGAAAATGAATGACAGAACTTTCACTGATTAATAATACTGCCACATATAAAACTCTGCCCTGAGAAATCCAGATTGAAATGTCTCAAGTTAGAAGCTGGCATACATAAAAATATATCTAAAAAGATAAAGCATTCGGTAAAGTAAAAAGGTATGTATTGTGGCATGAAGAAAATCGAATACATAGTACTGGATAAACCCCAGCATCAAATTCCCTGACCTGGTCAGGCAGAGCTACAAAGAAACTTCATCTTTAAAGGATTCCAGAGTGGGGCAGCTGCCACCATGTGGTGCCCTACAGGGAAGAAACATACCATACCAGGGGTGCTGCAAATGCCTGTACAAAGTTCTAGCTCTATCGTTGAGATCCTTAGAAACCATTTTGGGAAGAGAGACTCTTCATGAAGCAATTGGAGGCTACTTCTAATTAGCCTGGATTGTCAATATACTCTACATATGTCCAAGGATGACAGGGAGTTACATTAAATGGGACCACAGTGAGAAATACAGGGTTTACAATTAGAAAAGGTGGGCTAGAATCTCCTGGACAACTAAAGTTAGCATGTATTGATTTTGGCCATCTAAATCTTGTAAGGGCTGAATGCTTAAGATCATTTTATAGGGTACTTAATATGCAAAGGTCAATTTTACTAAATTACTAGACATTGAAAACTATAAGCCTCTTAAGCCATAAATATAGCTCTACCTTCTGGATTATGAAACAAATTCCCCTTGGAGAGATTCTAGCACATGGGGTGAAATTTTCAATTCATCTCTCAAACTTTTCTTTCATGTCTGCTTTAAGAAAGCCCTAGTGTCTATGCCATAAAAAGTCACAGATTTTTCTCCCATTTTTAAAAAGCTGTTTTATCAAGGATAGGCAGGATTTTCTAACTCACACTTTGAAAATATAATCTGTAGCACTGTAAGATTACTTTTAAAAAGTGATGATGAATGTAGGTGGTGGAAATGCTTTCAGTGACTCATAATTAGATAACACCCAACTTGGAGAAAAGAGCAAAAACTACTTTTTACTAGAGAAAATATAATGAGATGTTGCCATCATTTAGGACAGCATAATGGTACTTTACAAACATAAAATTACAGCTTTACAAAAATCTGAGTTAGTACTTAACATTTGAATACCCTAATTTTACATACTTAAAGTCATTAATTAAAAAAATGCAACAACTCAATTGCAAATTGCAAACAGGACAAAATTCCTTGCGAGAAATAGTCATTAAAAGCTAATAGTTATAGACTATGTATTACACTGACTTTTCAAAATGAAATTTGTGTTGAAATCATAAAATAAAAGGAATAAACTAGAAACTATTAATTATGTTATAATGGTGAATCCTGAGTTCGGGCTGCTATTTTAACAGTATTTATTCTGTACGATATATCTATATGGTCTGACATTCATTACTCTTCCTCATTCCTATTTAGAATTTCTTAAGAGTATGTACAATGCCATTTCTTTCACTATTCAATGATCATCCAGAAGCAAAAGTACAGCACAGGAAGATAATCTTTATTATATTTTAACTAGAAACAGAGCAGACAGCAAGTTCACGAGGTATTTCCGATTATTATTCTTTTAAGATCAAGCCTCAATAACGATAATCAAAATTAGTCTTAACTGCACAGATAGTTTGGTCACTATTATAATCTTCAAGGGCACTAAAGCCAGCAGCGTAAAGTAACATAAACGTAATGACTATGAGAATTTTCGACATGCCAATAATGTAGATCACTGCATTAAACTCTACCTTTGCATTTTCTTATATATTCTTCTTAAACACCAACAATTATTGTTACTCAGCAAAATATCAAACATGCACATAGTATTCCTACAAGAATACTATCTTAATATTGTCAGTATTAATACCAAGCTTTCCTTCCCCCCAAAATTCAATGAATCATGGTTCCACTCCCTATAGGTATTAGTGTTAGTGGTAACATGCAAACTTCATTTTGTTTTCAAGGTTAAATAGCAGATCAAATTCGCATTTGGTGACCAGCTGTGTACCTTAATTTTTCATCTTTTATTTTCTTAATAAATTTAACTACATTTCATAAGCCCTGAGATTTTCAATAACCTGCTAATGATTGTATACTTTTAATTTACGCTTTATTCCATTTAATTTGAACCCCACATAAGTATTTAAAATTATTTACAGATGTAGCAATGACAAAATTTACTACTTGTACAGTCAGACTGCTAATAAGGCCTTTAAGTTAACAGTTGCATATTTTATGCATTTTTTTACTTGCTAGGAGCAATTCTTAATATTACATCTATGATTTTCTGTCAGCACTGTGCTTTCCATTTTGCTTGCTTCTACATGGATAACCAGATTCACTTTGTTCCTCTCTTGTAAAAGAACTCTTTTTTTTTATTCCCCAAACATAAATGTTAGTTGTCCAACTGAAAAGAAACTTAGAATTTGAACAGCATATTGATAATGATAATGAGTACCAGAGAAATATGCTCATAACAAGCATTCAATACATGTTTGTTACACATGGAATATGTGAATTATAAGGCAGCAGTTAGTCATATATTTTTGATCATATACTATAACTCATTCTGTTTAACTAGAGAATTCAGTTTACCAGATTTAACTCATCCTCAGATGTAAATTTAAGAATTTGAAATTTTACAAACTGTTTTAACAGTTCTCATATAATCAAGTTAATAATAGTTGCTACTATAATATTAGTCAATAGAAAAAAAAAAAAAAACAATTACTTTCCACTAAGCCATATGTACAACTGAGGAAAATAAATAAAAAGCTAAGAAGTGTTAGCTAACTATTATTTTCTCCAGATTTATCCTTGCAGTTCTTTTTGTTCTTATATTTATCCCTGTTAAATTCTCTGAAACTGAAAAAGAATTTTATTATCTGAATGAATTTCTTATCCCCTTAGGTACATAACATTGGTGAAAAGCTGGTGTAAATATGATTGTATTTTCATGTCATGCCATGATTCTGTATTTGTTTTTTGCTGACATTAATTTTTTTCCTATTTAAGTGATTCTATATAGAATATGAGATAATTTTCCAACTTACTAGGAGATTGCTTGCTTATAATATTCAGTTTTTGTTGATAGCTTTGAAGCATATTGCACATTTGTCATCTAGCACATTAATAAGTAACTGTTACTCTTTTTAGAAAGGATACACTGACAAATTTAAAGCAGAAACATTTTTAGTCTGTCACAGGACAATTGCAATGGCAAAAACATTGACGATACAATTCATGGTTCGGTTCTCCCATCTTACGGTACAGGTTCCTAAAAACACATGCAGAAAAGGACTTAGAAAAACCAGCAAAACATCAAAATTTCCAGAGAATGTATATACATTTTTCATAGGTTTAAATATCTTGTTTCCTACAATCTGTTAAATCTTCACATTTCACATTTGTCTGAAATCATAGTTACTAGGTTCAAAGTAATTCTGTTGATAAAGTCTTTTCAGAATTTAATTAGAGATAAATAAACATTTGATAATAAGTGCACTGTTTGACTTTGCCAGAAGTTGGATTCTGTTTGAATTGGCTTAAGGTCTCTTACCATCAGATGTGACATCCCAAAAGCATGAGCTGGCTGTATGAAAGCCGTATGCACTCCTCTGGACCACTGCACAGGTCACTAAAAATAAAGTCACCAAATGAAGACACTTACAAATAAAGGAAAAGATATCCACAATCTCAGTGTTTGAGTTCAGAGCTTTACAAGGTGTAAAAATAACAGAAAACAGAGAATTCAGAAAATGGATTGGAAAAAAAAAATAACGGGTCTCTCATCTTATTTACTACCCTGATTTTGTCCTCACTGGATCCAGTCTGTTGCCCATAACCACTGGAGCAGGAAAATTCTGGGCCAATTTATGTGCCTTGTCTCATGGGCAACATTCAGACACAGAAACGAAGAAAATATTCCCACTTTACAATTATTGTGTGGCACTTCACAGTCCTACATGCAAGGAGGCATGGGGCTACTGAAAGGAAGACAGCAGAACTCAGCAGGTTTGGGTGGAAAGAGATAACTGATGCAAATGTAAAAGGTGATGCTACCAAGGACAGTTATATGGTTGGCAGGAGCTTAAACTGCTTTGGTGTAGCAAAAGATCTCCATCTTATAAGTATTACCATATATTATCTTTGGATGAATAATTGAGAAGTCTCTCATATCCTATTAGTATCTAACTTGAGTGTCTATAATTCATTTATAGTCTCTAAATTCAGAAAAAAACCACAAGGACAAAGGTGAGTAAACTTGTGAGGAAGGACACCAATACTTACCAATATATTTATAAGCTTTTCCCAGCTTAACCAAATGTGCTAAGGATTGTTCCACTATGCTTGCGGTCCATTGGTTGATGTTGTTCTGATTATAATCTTCACCACCCAAAACTCCATCTATACACTAAAAGGACAAAGGACAATTAAACAAATTAAACACAAATTGCAGCAAAAATTTATTCAAAATATAAAATGCATTTATAACCCATTAAAGCATCTTAGAAAATATACATCTGGTGAGTATTTATTATGCACTGCAATTGTTTAAGGATCTTCAAAGCATTTCTGCACGTATTGTCTCACTCTAGGTGATACTATGGGCCACATAAAGATAAATATGGTATGGCTTCGGTTGTAAAGAACTTAATCTAGCAGAGAAGCTAATAAGAGAACTATATAACACAAGGAAGACTAATCAAGGGTGATAAGCTATGTCATAAAAGAATTATGAAGAGTGGAGATTTAAAAAGGGTGATATCAATTGGTTAAAGAATGGCTTTGAAACCAGTGAGATTTGAACTAGGTTTCAGATGCTAAAACAAAGGACGAAACCAATTTAAAATTTTAATTCTTATGTATAATAATTACATTCTCATTCATATTAAGTAATTGCTTAGCTATAAAACTGGCACACCTGCCATTAAAGTAAATCAACAAATGCTACTTTTCGGGTGCTCTAGAAAGGGAAAGTTAAAAATTTTCCACAGTGCTTACTTGCTTCCACTTCTGATACCTGATTAAGAGCACTGGTTTAGTATCACAATCTTAGGTTTTAAGGTCATCACTGCCACCTAATCATTGTACGACAATTTGCAAGTGACTTAACTTCTTGAAGCCCCTATTTTCCTAATCTTTAAAGTAGAGATAAAAGCCTCATCTATTCAGGTTGTTGTGAGGATGGAATGACATAACGAGTGCCATGTGCTCAAACACAGTGACTGTCACAGAGTAAGTACATAAATAATGTTAGATATTATCGTCGTTGTTGTTATCATTATTACTGCTTATTTTGTTTTTCAAGTTCTATCGAGATATAATTGACAAATAAGATCATGTAAGTTTAAAGTGTACAATGTGATGATTTGATACACATATATATTGTGAAATAATTACCATGATAAGGTTAACAAATTCATCATTTTACATATCACCTTTTTTTGCATGTGCAGTGAGAACATTTAAGATCTACTCTCGGTCTATGGCCATGCCACTCGGAACATGCCCAATCTCATCTGATCTTGTCTGATCTCAAAAGCTAAGTAGGGTCGGGCCTGGTTAGTACTTGGATGGGAGACTGCCTAGGAATATCGGGTGCTGTAGGCTTTAAAATAAACAAACAAACAAACAAACAAACAAATAAATAAATAAAAAGATTTCTGATAATTTTAAAAAAAGACCTACTCTCAGCAACTTTCAAGTATACAATACAGCATTGTTAACTATAGTCACCACACAGTACATTAGGTCCTCAGAACTTACTCATCTTCTAACTGGAAATTTGAATCCTTTGACCAACATCTCCCCATTTCCCACACCCTCCAGCTCTTGGCAATGACCACCTTACTCTCTGTTTCTGTGAGTTTGGCTTTTTTAGATGCCACGTATAAATGAGATCATGTGGTATTTGTCTTTCTCTGACTTATTTTGCAGCTATTATTTTATATTCGAGTGATATAGCCTAGATAATAAAGCACTCATTCACTTATAGAATTCCTCTGAATCACACAAACACACACATGTAAATCATTTACTACAATTAGATTTTAATAAAAAATCATAAAGGCACTAATTAATATAGAATGTTAAGCTGGATAGCATCAAAACTTCACTAATGAGATAATGTTTAAAAAAAAGAGTTAAATTTAGAGAGACTGAAGAAAGAAACAGGGCTCAAATTATTCTCCTAGAGTGTTCAACAACATGACAGAGTTAGGAGGGCCAGTGGCCCAAAGGTCAGTGCAACAGGGTTTTAATTCTGGCTTTACCATCCCCAAGCCGTTGACCTTTGGGCAAATCTTTTCCTCTCCCTAGACTGACTTTCCTTAACGGGAAACTAAGAGCACTCGTTTTTCTTCTGGGCTATCTAAACTTCAGAAAACATCATGAGGCTGTGGATCCCACTGTAAATAAGCCTGCTAATTACTATGAATTAACATTTAGCTTTCTTAATTTTATCATTAACCAGGAGGCTCACTAGGTAATGAGGTCCTAACCTGTCTGTACTTCCAGGGCCAAACTCAGAATGTGGGCACGTGGCAGGCACTCAGTAAATGTTTGTTGTTGAAGTAATATTGCCTTTGATAGACTCTCTGGGCATCCAAAATCAAATCTACTTTAGACTAAGTTCCATGTTAACTCCATTTGTAACTCAATTTTTCTTTGAGAATTTGTTTGTGGGTAAATTCTATTACTGACAATAAATAAAATATATGCATGTCACTGATAAGTAAGTGGCTCCAAGACTTCAGAGGGAAAAATATTAGCATAGGGGTTCAGAACAAGAAATCTAAGGAAAGAAGAAATCAGTAAGGGATAAGGAAAACAGAAATACCTACTGAAACTGTGTAAGCATCTAGAAAGTGCTGAAACATTTTAAAATAGTGCTCTCTCCCTCTCTTCTCAAGCCTTTCCAGTGCCTCTAAGGCAAAGAGAGTTGGCTCATGGGAAGAGAGCAGGGGAGAGGATAGACATAGAACTGAAAGTCACTTGTAGCAAACATGAGATTTCTTTGAAGTCTCATATTTCATATAAAAATTCAAGTGAAGCCTGCTTTTGACTTCATAGTGTCAGTTTTTTCATTAAAAATGTTTTTGGTTAAAGTATTCATATTACTTAACTACCTCTTGCCAAGTATTTAAGTAAAACTGATGCTCTAAAAGACACCCGGTACCTCCTAGCCTCATCCAGCCACCACCAAGTATGTGTATCCTAGTTTAAGAAGCATGGCTCTTTTAATTTAATAAAACATCAAAGTAACACATGCACATGGTTTTAAAATTCCAATGGAAGAGAAGATCTTACAATGAAAAGCGAGAATCCCTTCCCCAGTGTCTCTCCCTAGAGGAAATATCATCAGAGAACAACTAATTTTTTAATTTCTTCTAAGGGTTACTTACGTATCTCCAAATAATGTTTACATCACTATTTCTTGATTTACAAATTATAGGCATCATCCCTAGAGCTCCTGCTATAAAAGATGAAAATTTAGTTCCCTCAGACCACCTGCCACCTTCCTCTCCCCTTCCGCCAATATAGTGAATTCACTATTTTTACTTGAATATATTTGCACCATTAGGAGCATGTTTCTTTTCTACTCCTGGCAGTTCCCTCCACACAGAGAATTCTTCCTTAACATTCCTGGCCTCTTGCCTCTTGTGAGTTATCTGGTTGGTAAGTGACAATTGTTATTCCACCATTCTCATTTGGGAGAGCCAATCTCCCAAATGCCTTGGATGTGGGTATTTGGTTTCTCTTT